GAACGCCTAAATCTGTGATCGAATCGACGTCTTCTAACTTAGGCGAATCTATGAAACACTGAGTAATGAATGACTTTCTTCTTGAGAAAGAAAGCTTCTTACAGTCAGATTTAGTTTCAGAAGATTCAAAGAGCACCATGCAATAAAATTATCCAAGTCACTTTGAAGCTGATGTGATTGCGATTCTAGAGAGAAGGAAGAAAACAGTTTCACATCATTATTATATATTAAGATTTGACTGGAATTAACCACCGATGGGAGATCATTAATGTATAAACTAAATAAAATAGGTCCTAAGTGGCTGCCTTGACAAATGCCAGACATAACGGAGAATTCATCCCAGGTGATGAAATTAAACAGAACCCTGAAGGATCTGTTGTGCAGATAAGAGCTTATCCATTTCACTAAATAAAAAGGGAAGCCAGAGGCTTGGAGTTTAAGGATAAGTAAGTTATGGTTAAGCGTATCAAACGCTTTGGTTAAATCAGTGTATATCACATCTGTGCGAGAGCCACTAGAAGAAGCCTTGAAAACATGACAAGTAAACTCTAACAAATTGGTGATCGTAGATCTTCCTTTCCTAAAGCCATGCTGGCGTGGAGAAATATACGAATTATTGGCAAAGGCCAAATGCTGAGTCACAATTCGCTCGAACAACTTAGGCAAGACACTCAACTTGGCTATGCTTCTGTAGTTCTCAACAAGTTGTCTCCTTCCACTTTTGTGGATAGGAATAAGGAAACTACTCTTCCAACACGAAGGGAAAGCACCTAAATTTAAGGACAGGTTAAAAATCTTTGAGATCACCCCACATAACTCGACAGCGCAAGATTTAAGTACACATGATGAAATTCCATCAGGTCCAGGCGCACAACTGGATTTTAGAGCACTCAATCCTTTAAAAACCTCATCTTGCGAAATAACCAAGTTAGGAATTGAAACCGAGTTAGTTATAGGATAAATCGAAACTAGCAATCGAAAAGTTTCGTCAGAAATACTCAGCAAACAGATTTGAGATATCAAAATCATCCGAGGAATCAGATCCATTAAAAGAAACATGAGAGGGATATGTGGAGATTTTTCTTTTAGAGTTAACAAATTTAAAAAAGTGTTTAGGATTAGCACGCAGAGAGGATTTAATGAACTGAAGGTATCTGCAGTAATAATGGTGGGAGAAAGGTAAATGTATGCCTCGCCACCGAGTAAGCGAAATAGTCGAGCGCAGAGCCACTTTTCGTATATTTTTTGAATAGCGTGTTTTTTCTATTCTTGCAATATTTAATTGTCTTATTAAACCCGGGGGGACTTCGAGGTCGGCACTGCTTAATCGGAGCAGATGCAGCAATAGAGAGATTTAATGTATTGTAGAACGATGACAATAAGCTTTCAATACTTCCGGTTGAGAAATCAAGCTTTATATGTGAAAGACGATGTTTTAGCAATACAATATTGATTTTATGAAAACCACAACATTTATTTAAAAAAGTTCGATTTGGCACATTAAGGCAGTTCAACTAAGCATCATTCATATGATGAAAGGAAATGCACCTTGATGGATGATAAGGATTCTCAGGTAAACTAAAAAGTGGGCAACCATTTACGTTAATCTCACGAAAGTTGGCAAAGCAGAGATCAAGCAGTCTAACATTACAATTATGGGTACGATGATATTAAACCAAATTATGATCAAAGAATTCATTAAAAAATGCAACAGCCCTATCAGATGTTAAAGTAGCAATCAACCAGCCAGAATTATCACTGTTACACCAAGTGACTTGAGGCAAGTTGAAGTCACCCAATGCAACGACCAAATCGTTAAGTCTAGACCACTTCACCACTTCACAAATGAAGGCAGCGTGTTTCTTGTAAATGGAGATATCAGAATTTGGAGGAATATAGGAGCAGGTTACATAAAGCTGTTTATTAGGCATTATCGCACGAATGGCGATAAATTCAAAGTCAGGAGAAGTGGAGAATTCTATTGAATTGGACGGGACTGACGCAGATACGGCAATTAATACAACACCACCAATGCGATTCATTCTATCATTTCTGAAGACTTGGAAAGAATAATGAAAAAGTTCCGACGAATGAAGATCGGGTTTTAGCCAAGTTTCGGTGAAGGCTAAACAAAAAAACTCCGTACTCACTGAATTTAGAAAAGTAGAACAAATTTTTGAATTAAGGCCCCTTACATTTTGCAAAATGAGAAATAATGGGCCTAAAGAAACATTTAGTTTTTTGAAGGCGACAAGACTATTGCTTTGGTATTACGGGGACGATTTCGAAGGATAAATTTTTTAGTCAAGGATCCAACTGGCCACAGTGGTTTGTTTAACAACATATCACTGTTTTCAGTCGGAACTAGTATTTTAAAAGAGGAGATTGGCCTAGATTGAGAAGGACCCATTTTGAAAATGCTAACACGCTTTAAGTTGACTGATGGGACTTTCGCCGCCAGATAACTTTTTATGTTATCCACCGATGTTTCAGGTGCCAGTCTTCAAATGCCATCAAGCAAATGTCATTAGTTGGAACAGGAGGGTTCACGGTTGGGGAGTTTAGATTTGGAGAGAATATAGATGGCGTTATCGCCCTTGCACCAGCAGCCTGTGCGACTTGCCTAGTCTGGTGACCAGCGTTCACATTCGAACAGCCAAGGGGAGAGGATGATTTATCTTTCTCTTTATTACTTTTAGGCGATGGCGCTTGATTAGAGTGAGTGGCGGCAAGAAACGAATCAATCCGATTCCGGGCCTGTCTTTGCGCGACATGGTGTATATAAGCACTCCACGTCAAGTCAACGAAAAGAAAGAAGTGAACTATTAAAACAAAAAAAAACAAAAAATTCAAAAGAATCCACTACACTAAGTTTATCTACAAATTTAAGAAATTTAAGGAAACTTCTCTGTTACGTTGTCACTGTAACAAGAGTGTAAAAGAACTAGAGAAAGCAAAACCAAACTGAAAGCACGAAAAAAAGAGAAAATACAAATCAGAAAAATTTTCTCTTAAATTTTCTCTCAAATTACACGTTAAATCTACACTACTGAAGCAACGGTAAATAAGCTATTCACACCAAAGGAAGAAAATAAAAAAAGAAAAAAACTCAAAGGAAAAAACTAGAAAAGACTCGAAAGAGATTTAATATTGCGATCACAAGCGCTAATGGCAAAAACCAAAATGAAAATCACAAAAGTTTTAATGTAATTAATGTAGTTCTTACAGTTTACACGTTCCATCCTTTTATACTTTTACAAATACCCAGCTTTAAACGCGTATAAAACGAAAAGAAAAAATTTTAAGCAAAAATACTAACAAAAGCGTACGATCTCGCGCGCGTCGGTTGTCAGACTTTCCAACAAATGTTGAGAAAATCAAGATCCAAACATTTTCGAGCCGATAGTCGATGTTGCCAGTGCTCAATTTCTTTTTTTTTAGTTTATTTATTTCATTAGTCTAAAATTATAATAATAATAATAATATCATTACATATATATATTGTGAGGAGCGAAAGTCGTCCCTCGTTTTAGCCTCACGGGCTCTCATTCTCTGATGGGACAAGAGTGCTAGTTTAAGTTAGAGAGTAAGCTGGTTTAGGATAGAGAATAAGAATAAAATAAGAATAGGGTGGGAATAGAATAGGAATACATTAAGAGTAGAATAAGGATAGGTTAGAAGTTGGGTAGGGTAGAATAAGTTAGAATTTAGTTGGAGAGTCTTAGTCGCGTCTGGACTCCAGCGAGAATCCGTCACGACCGTGCTGGATTTAAAGAAAAATTAAATAAAGTATACGGTAAACAAAGTAAGAAAACATAAGCTTTCTTGTGATCTAAATTCCTGGGCTGCTGAGCTACTCCAACCCCAGAGAATGGGCCGGAAGTGGCGCCCGAGCAGGGACTCTTTAATATAAAGAAAAAAAAACAAAAAAAATACATTAAAAATCGGTGAACAAAAAAAAACATTGAAAATGTGAGCAAAACAAACAAAATTACGGAAAGAAAAGTGGAAGTTTTATCGAAGTTTCTCAGCTCTATATTTCAGGTTAACGTAATTTAATTGAGGCATTATCACCGTGAAAAAAAACAAAAAAATTATTTATGAAAAGTTGTTGAAAAACGGAAAAGAAATAAAATTATCGTGTGAAAGATTTGCAAACCTTAGAAAAATAAAATTTCGAAAATTTTTATTATTATTATTATATTATTAATTTCGCTAGAGAAATAAATTCTAAGACTAAACTCGTAAAAGTACTAGCATCTTCGGCTTTTATTAAAAACTCTACCGCACTTCAGATTCGAACCCGCGACCATTGACTTGGTAGTCGAGATTCCTCGCCTTCGGCTACTCAGGCGAATATTTCTAAAATTTTATTAATTTATACGTTTGAAAAAAAGAACAAGAAACTGATCTAAATAAGGGATGAATTGCACTTTGCAATGCGCATTGCACACTAACTGTCAAAATAAATTTGATCGTGTGTATTTGAATGTAGTTGAACACGTTGCTTGCGCTGCGTTGTGCGTCAACGGAAGTTTTTGGCAAACGTTTCCTTATAAATCTATTAAAGATTGTCAAATAATAATTCAAATCGTCTTCTGGTTGCACTACATTTTTTTTTCTTTTTTTTTGTATTTTGCTGCAAGACCATATATCAAAGAAATTTTTCACTTTATTATTTTTTTATCTTTTCATAAGTGTTTACGTAGACAAGCACTAACCACGTGATTTAGCTTTAATAACATAGGCACGTTGAGTGTTCAACAAATTTTGCGTTGCGTTGCGCGTAGAGGTAACGCACGACGAAAGGATTGTGTTTGGCGATTAAGTTATCCTGGCCTTCCTGGCCACAGCTGTTATGTGGTGGGTTTTTATAAACGGCTAATATTTCAATGAATAAAGTTCATCTTTGACTTAGTCCACTTTAACCCAACGCCCAAAAAGAAAAAAAAGTATCATCATCTAAAGAATCTTAAAAAAAAGAATACCGGTTTAAAAACATGCTAAGCCTCCGACGTCAAATGCAGTATGTAGCGACTAGAAAAAGATATTTTTATACCAGTAATATGAAATGTGGTTACATCGTTCTGTAAGTGATTTGTGCTGTTTACCTACAATGCGAAATCACACATAAAGATGAATCCATTTTGGATTTCAGCGTTCCGGAAATAGGTGAAGAAGGTCTAACGGGCGATATTACCATCGAACCGGGCGGCTTGCCAGATTTCAACGACATCACCATTGAAAACTGTTTAGGGGCCATTGGCCGTCAAGCAGGAGTAGTTGAAAAGAGTGTTAAACAAATAGAAAGCAAAATATTAGCACTACCGACAAACAAATCAATAGACACGGTTGAGCTGTTTCGTAAATTAGATGAAGCAACTGGTCCTTTAGATACCACCTGGGGTACAGCCAAAGCCTTGTATTTAGGAAATAGCACGCTTATACCAACTAAAACATATATGAATATACACGATCGTGCTCGAAAGGCCAGAGCTTCCAAATTTTGCAGCAAATCAATATATGATGCTTTACAAAAAGAAAAAAAAGCGATTGTTGGCACCTTTGAGGAGCGGCTGCTGCGGAAGTATTTATTAGAAGGCGGACTGAATGGTTTGGGCTTAAAAGACGATACTCGTGCAAGCTTGAAGGACGTTTTACTACGTCTAGGAAGGGAACGCGCAAATTTTAAAAACAAAGTAAACATATCTATGCACAGCTTTGCGCACTTAATTAAAGATTACCAATTGGTTCGCGATTTTCCGTCTACACTTTTGGAAGCGACTATAATTGATAACAACAACACAAATCAAGGTCCTTGGAAGTTTACATTGCAGCCGCAAGTTGTTGATGGCTTTTTAAAACATTGCCCGGATCGAATACACCGTTGGAATATCTGGCAAGCTAATGTACGCAAAGCCTCCACTCATATGGACAAGAGTTTAGAAAATAGCACACACATAGAAAAGATAAGGTCATTGCGAAAACGGCAGGCCAATATTTTAGGCTACCCAAATTACGCTACCATGTCCATGCAGACGAAAATGGCCAGCAGCATATCTAACTTGAAGCAAATATTTTCCAAATTGCTACAATTCGCAGGACCGACTCAATCCGTAGAAATCGAACAACTACAAAATTTCGCCACAGCTAGTGGCTTTGAACACAGGTTAGACGTCTACGATGTTAGTTATTGGCAGCGCAAATATCTTCTATCGAAGTATAAACTTGACGAGGAGGCTCTTCGAAAATATTTCCCATTGCCGAAAACACTCTCTGGGCTGTTTGCTTTTAGTGAAAGTTTGTTTGGCATTAAAATTGTGGAACGTACGGATGCACAGGTTTGGCAACCTCTTGTAAAATACTATGATGTTTACGACAACGATCGGGGATTAAAATCAGTTGGTGGCTTTTATATTGATTGTTACTCCAAAGAAAATAAATTTGGAAAAAATAATGGATGGATGGTCAGCATCCGTAATCGTAATGACTCCGCTAAATTGTCGCCACTTTGTGCCCTGATATTTAATTTTACCCCGCCATCAGGGAATGGGCCTTGTTTGCTTAGTATGGATGACTTGCGAATGGTTTTCAAAACTTTCGGTTCGGCATTACAGCACATCTTGACAGAAGCTCCATTTACGGATTTAGCTGGCCTGTCAAATATTGAATGGGACGCATCTCAAGTTGCAGGATGCGTTCTAAGTAATTTCCTCGATAATCCGTCTATTTTGAAAACCATTTCAGATAGCCAAAATTGCGGTTCCCTTCCAGATGACTTAGCCCAGAAAACAAAACTATTTAAAACCCATTTAGCTGGTTACAATTTGTGTGAAGAATTATATATTGCCGACTTGGATGTAGAACTTCATCAATGTGATAATTTTTGGTTAGATGTAGTTCGTAAACTGTGGCCCGTGTATAAATGTATGCCTTTGGACAAAAAAGATTCACATCCTTGCTCATTTACTGAAATTTTCTCGGGTGATTGGGGTGCAGCCCAATTTAGTCATTTATATTCTAAAGTAATTGCGGCAGACATTATGGAGGCCTTTGAAGATAATAATGAGGATATGAACTCAGTAGGTGAAAGATTTAAGAAAACATTTCTATCGCTAGGGGGAGCCGTGCCTGCTGCTGAAGTATTCCGGCGTTTTCGAGGTCGAGATCCGTCTGTCGAAGCTTTGTTAAAATCATTGAACATCTGGCGAGATACGCGAACCCCTCACAGTTTATAATTTGATTTTTAAAATCACAAAATGTGAAATTGTTTGAAATTTACTTTTTTTAATAAAGAAATTGTGACGCCGCGGAAATCAACAAAACACCTTCGAAATGTTGAAAAATTGCGCATTCTATACCCGATATACGGCAACTTAAGCTAACGCTTTGATTTTTTTATGCTTTTTGTTGATAAATTATATTATATAAATTAGATAATCTATAAATTCTAGCATATATTTTACTAAAGCCTTTTGATTTCACCTATCCATGATTTAAATACAACAATAATAGTACCCCAAAATTAATTATATACATGGCTAAGAATTATGAACGAAAAAATTTCACTTTGCTGTTCAATTATTAATGAAATAGTGTTAGAAGCAATTCCTTCATTTCCTTTACTATAGAGGCAAATAATGCGACAAACGCACTGACACTCAAACACAATTCGACAAATAAATAAGGTTCTCAGCTGTTAAAGCCAATTCCATCGACTGATTAACAATGTTGTGCAAATGAGAGCGCAGCATTTGTTCATTTTCGGCAGGAAATAAACTAACGCTACCGAATATCAACTTGAAAAGCGTTAGATACAGATTCGATCTTTCCTCGTTAGTACCCATTTCATGCGTTTTACCCAGTAAATATTCCGCAAGTGTTGTAGCAAATGGGGGAGAATTTCACGGGATTAGCTAAGAAAGAATTGGCCACTATTTGCAGTGACGGATTCTTGTGTATGCGTTCAACCGTGTAAACGAAGTGAAGTATTAATAGAATATATATCCAAAGCCTCCATTGCCCAATGAACTAAACCAATATAAATACTGACTTCGTGCGATTGAAAGAGTTTTTTTTTTGCTTGAGTTTAATAACGTCAACCAACGGTGACTAAAATTAAATATTCTATGCAGAGGTTAATTAAAAAAGATGAAGATAAATTTGAACTTACCATTGAAAAATTGCTCATTATTGTATTTGTTGACGTCCCTCCCTTTATCTATAAGCAAGATCTACTCTTCATTAGTTATTTCACTTTTATATTTTGTACGTTCTCGTGAAAAAAAGTTCTTTACATAATATATGTCTGAATTTTTTCATTTTGTCTATTTTTTTTTAATCAAAAAATAATTTATTTTACCTCTTACATTCTCTAATCAAAGCATTAGTATTAAAAGCGTCTTTATAGGCTATTTCAATTTGAATATTGGTATCAGGTGGGCTAAGATATGATCGATGTATTCCTTTTGGCTGCTCAGTTCAGCTATAATTAAAATTCAAGTTCAAGTCACTTAGATCGGAACATGTCGGTAAAAATTATCTGCTAATTTTATACAAATACATGTTCAAGTATTGAGAATTGTAAACAAACATAGACGCTTATTCTCACATGTTTGGAATTATTGAGAATCATAGACGCTTACTTTCAGTTGGCGACAAATTTTTATACGCTTATTCTCAGATGTAGGCAATTTTTATTAAAATTATGCGGAAACTTAAACGTATGATAGACGTATGAGACGCTTTCAAGTAGTGACTTTGAAGATCCAATGTAGAGCATTACGTGCTTGTCACCGCAGCAATATTATTATCAAAAAAAAGGAATTGTAATACATTGGTTTTTATATTTTGATATTATTTGACATTTATAATAAAAATAATATGTAAAACAAATACCGTCTATGGAATCTTAAATATTCGAACTTATTCGATTTTTTTTGATACATGCAACAAAGGCCCTTAGATATTACTGATTTATTGATTATTCTAAAACGAAGAGACAATTTTTTAGGAAATTGTTGGTCAACTTTGTTTAAATAATAAATCATATGCATTGAAATTTATATATGAAAAGTCAGGCTAGATTTCTTGAGGTCAAAAAAGCGCTGTCGCTTTAATTTATAAGTCGATTTTTTCAGATTTCATTCTTTAAATTTTTGCTTTGGTTTGTAGGGTGTGCTTTCTGAATTTCGCTATTTTTCAAAGTGTTTACAAGTGTTTAAGACTGTTTAAGACTGTATAATAAGATTTTATATGCTTTCGGTCTGGAATTTCGTTATTTTTTCAAAGTGTTTACAGGTGTTTTCCATACTTTCGCAATTGTCACCAAATTCAGACTCGCTTTTTTAATTCTTCTCAATTATCACCAAAAATATTTTGCAATTGTATGGTGTTTCAAGCGATTAAGAAATTAACAGAGCGAATAAATAAAATATAAAAAAAACCCTTTGTATGTACGTTTGTGTTTACCGCACACTCAAGCGCATATACTAATAAGTCATCTTGAAAATAATAGCCATTATAACAAAAATAACTACTTTATTTAAAATTTGGCATTTGTCGGGCAGTTTTACTGGGACGTGCTGCAAAAACACCGCTATGATTTAGCACAAGTGCGCATGGCCTTATTATATACGAAAGGACTATCTTTACAAACTTATACTAATAGCATTGGGCTGAAAATTCTATAAGCTTCGCTTATATTCTCCCACGTTTGAAGAGACAAATTAAAGTCGCAAGCAGTTAACACATTGAAAACGGCTTAACCGTTTTGTTTGGTAATTATTTTTGAATTTCAAAATAAATCGTTTCTTTGCTGGTTTTTTATATCTTAAGATTGGGATAAAATACACATAAAAGAGTTTCTAAATTTTTTTTTACATATAACATAAATTTGTCAGTTCATTATGCGTAACTCGTTTTTAATTGTTTTTTCCTATTTTCTCTTTTCAGGTACACATCAAGATATGAATGAATTTCGCAGTCGTCGCTGTCCTTCATAATGGTAGAACGTACTGGCTCTTTAACACCTGGTTGCAATTCATAAATGTAGCCGGCATCATATCCGCCCATAGAGACTCATATAGTGTTGCGGTCCGTACAACGTAACCATAAAATTAGATTAGGAATGGCAGGTATATGGAATGGTTCTTTTTCCTCGTCTGGCTCGGAATCGGCTAATAAAAAAAAAAAGTTATAGCTTTTATGAAATGATCTCATTCGACTTAAGAATATTAAGAGTATACCTAATGCTTGTTCCATATCAATTTGTAAACCTGGATTTGCTTTTTTCAATTTCTCAATTGTATCCAATTTACGTTTCCGCTATTTGTCCTTCCGCTTTTAATAGCTGCTCTCTTCAAGTCGCGATGTATGACACTTTTAACAGACGTGAACTTTGTTGCTTTCATTTCTTTTTCGTCAGTTATATTCTAACTGAGAAATGTTTGCTCTTCGCTTATTTTCGAGGGTAGCCGATATTCGTATACCACGCCCGTCTTACAACCAATGAAAATGGTGAACTTTTCATCCTTCCAATTGAAACAATTTGGTATGGCATCAAAAGCGATTATAAGTCTTAGTCTATTAATAGTTATATTAATTTTCTATACTTCTTAATTATTTATACCTAATTTATATTAAAATTATCCAGAAACCTAAACGCATGGTAAACCGTATAAGATGCTTTCAAATACTGAACTCACAGATTTTCGCTTTACTGAACAAACAGCTGAAAGGCGGCGACATTGAAGGATCCAATGTGGAGCGTGCTTTTCACCGCCGCAATGTTATTATTAAAAAACATTGTTTTGTGCATTTTGATATTATTTGACATTTATAATAAAAATAATTTGTTGAACAGATACAGTCAATGCAGTCTTAAATATTCGAAATTATTCGCTGTCGTCTTAGTTTATAAAATGATTTTTTCACATTTCCTTCTTTATATTTTCGGCTTTGGTTTTGTGTGGAGGGAGTGCTTTCGATGTTAACTCCGCTATTTTTTCCAAGTGTTTAGAAGCGTTTAAGACTGTTTAATAAGGTTTTATATGGTTTCTATGTCGGATTCCGTTATTTTTTCAAAGTATTTAGAAGTGTTTAAGACTGTTTAAGACTGTTTAATAAGGTTTTATATGGTTTCTATATTAAACTTGATTAAACCAAAATTGACAATTGGTATGATGGAGCAACATCACAACAAGATTCTAAGCGTGTCTGGTGAGCTTCGACAGAAAATTTTTTCAAGTTAAATAACGAAAGTAATAAAATTTCAAAATGCAACTATGAGCAAAATTAACTATGAAAAAAATTTGAAAATATTAGTTTGGGGAAAAAGAAATCCATTATTTTTTTGGTAGATGGCTGCACTGATAGATTTCTCGTAAAGTATCGATCAAACAATTTCAGATTTATGCTCGTTGGAAAGGTGACATTTCGCAGTCAAAAAAATTCTTTTGCTGTTTTTTGTTTGGTGCGTTCAGTTGTGAGTTACAGCGTGTTAAAAATGGAAGTGACAAAGAGAAAATTCGGTACATTTTACAATTTTTCTTTGACAAAGGCGAAAATGCAAGCCAGGCGGCTAAAATTGTGAATGGTGTTCATGGTTCCGCTACTGTAACAGCCAATTATGTGCAATTTTGGTTTCGTAGATTCCGTTCAGGATTTTTGATGTTAAAAATGCACCTCGCACAGGTAGCCCGGTCGTCGAAAATGTCGATAAAATCGGAGAAATGATCGAAGTTGAACTGCATGTTAGCAGTCGTAACATCGCCCAGGAGCTAAAAATCGACCATAAAACAGTTTTAAACCATTTACACAAAGCTGGATTCAAAAAGAAGCTCGATGTTTGGGTGCCACACCAATTAACAGAAAAAAACATGATGGATCGAATTTCCATCTGCGAAGCCTTGGCTAAACGGAATGAGATAGACCCATTTCTTAAACGGATGGTGACTGGAGATGAGAAATGGATCACATACGATAACGCTGTGCGAAAACGATCGTGGTCAAAGAGCGCTGAAGTACCTCAAACGGCCAGGAAGGTTTTGTTATGCATTTGGTGGGACTGGAAGGGGATTATTTATTATGAGCTGCTTCCATATGGCCAAACGCTGAATTCTGATCTCTACTGTCAACTACTGAACCGTTTGAAGATAGCGATTGACCAGAAACGGCCAGAATCGGCCAACAGGAGAGGTGTCGTGTTCCACCAGGACAACGCTAGGCCACACACATCTACAGTGACTCGCCAGAAATTTCGGGAGCTTGGTTGGGAAGTTTTAATGCATCCGCCATACAGTCCGGACTTGGTACCAAGCGATTATCATCTTTTGCTTGCATTGCAAAATTTCTTTAATGATAAAAAATTGGAATCTAGGGAGGATTGTGAAAATCGAGTACTAGAGTTTTTTGCAAATAGAGACCAGGACTTCTATGAGAGACGCATTTTGAAGTTACCTTTAAAATGGCAACAAATCATACAACAAAACGGTGCATATTTGACCCAAATCGGACAATCCGAAGCATGTTAAATAAAGTGCTGAAGTTCATATAAAAATAATGGATTTCTTTTTCCCCAAACTAATATTAAATATTGAATTTATTCATCCGTATCATCCGTATTACGATTGTTGACTGCTTTTCAGCATCAAATATTAAAATGTTTATTTTTCATAAAGATCCCTTGGGTCGGCTAAGACAAATAGACCCACATGATTAACCGATAAAGCAATATTAGATATCTTCGAAATGTACACAAATTACCTCATACTTTTGCAATCACAATCTTGATAAATCTTTTAATGTGAATATATGATCCACAAATTAGGAACGAAGAATAAAAAATCTTCCGCAGAAGTAATTCCTATAAGCATTCTTGGTATGGCATTAGCCTGAGCATTAAAAACGTGAGCTATGCTAAACCTGGTCAGAAGTAAAAAAAGTGAATATTGTGCCTCAAAAGCAATTTGGAGAACGAAAGAGGTGAGAATCGGATGGTGCCATGGCAGTTCCCGTTTTGAACCAAATCATAGCAACCGTCTTGTTTTTTAATTCATCTTTTTAGGATTAGCGGGAATCTTCTCTGCAGAAGTTGCTTCTTGTGCACCGCAACAA